GCCATGATTTATTTTCTTCATTTATTACATTTAAATCTAATTAAATAAAATAATCATTTTTTTTATTAATTACAAAATAATTTTTCTTACTTGTTCGAGTAATAATCATTAATAAAAGAAGAGATAATTCTTTTTCATCTAAATAAAAATCTCGTAATTTTGTTTCAAATGAACGAAATGAGTTTTCAGCTTCTGTTAATTGTGGAACATGTGCATTTAATTCTATTGATAATGTTGATTCAGCTTGCCAATAATTCCATGTAGATTGAATATCACCATATGAAGATCTCATAGATACTGTTTTTGGTAATAATGCTACCATGATTACTGAATTTATACAGGATGATATTACTTCATATTTTTCATACATATTATCAAAGCCTATATAGATATATAAACAATTAAGAAATTAGAAATAAATACAAAGAAGAAAAACAATGATAATAAAGAAGTCTGTTCACTTTCACCGTATTCATCGTGAGAGGGAAATAGACTCTAAGAAGTTAAACATATGACAATAATAATATTATTAACAAGAAAAGAGAAAGAAGAAACATATAAACACGAAACAGACGATAAGAGTAATATATGTATGTTACCCGGAATTGTTTTTTGACAAAAATTCATTACTGCTTGAGCATAAACTATCATTTGTGATGCCATTGTCCACCAAACTGTTTCATGCGGAATACATTGAGGTAAATCCTTTATTGAAATAAAGCAAAAATAAAACGATTATATTTAATGCAATCGAGTTATTGATGCTTGCTAAATAATAAGACAAAATATTCTAAAAACTACCTTCAAATGCATAACATATGCATTATGCACTTTTTCAATAAAATCTTTTGTAGTCGATGAAAGTTCAATATCCATTCCATTGTTCGATAAAAATACTGAAATCAAACAAATATAGATAATTTTTTTATTTAGAATTCTTAATATTACCTCTTCCAGTTTTTGTTTTAATTTTCCGCTTTTTAGCCATCGATGCAATACGAGCTGAATCGGTTACTGTTGCCATTGATTTTGAACCATTTTGTAATTGTCGAATACTATTTTAATTTAATAATTAAAATAAATTATTATTTATTCGAAATTACCTTTCTTTAAACAAATTCGATTGTCGACCAATACGTGATGCTAAGATAAATATTGAAATATGTTTATACTGTGAATAAAAAGATTAGACAAACCATTCATTGACATTCCAGCGTCAACACATTTTTTAAATCTACATGCACGACAAGTTATTTTTGATGTCGAAAGTATTTCACAATTATTATTTTCTGCACAACGATATCGTTCTGGTGCATTTTCTTTTACTGATCGACGAAAAAAACCCTTTAGAAATTATTTTATAAAACCTATTTTCTCTTTCTTAAATATTCATTTTTCTCTTACTTTGCAAGCCTCACAAGTGACAGCACCAAAATGAATACCTGAT